TCCTGTTTACAAACCGTGACAGAAGATAACCCAGATCTACTATCGTCTTTCGATGCACCTGCGCACCAGGTGCTGGAAATGGTCATGTTATCCTCGGAGAAAGATATGGACCATATCCTTTTGCGGACCTTGGTGGCAGGTAAAATACTCAATAGGGCAGGCTCAGGAATTCTGGGAGTTGACGTCTACAGGTCCTGAAGTTGACATAGCTGCGCTATGACAACGATGCGCCAGAATGTGTGTGGTGATGGTGGGGAGGCACAGCTCTATGGTTTATGCGTGGGAATTCCTTGCCTGGATTGCCAGTCAGAGGTTGGGTGTAGAAAGTCATGATATGAGGACTTCCTTTCTGGCTTGGTGAGATGTTGTGTGATGATCCAGGGCACAGCACAGAGAGAACAGAAACAGCTGGTACTTCACACCGGCCCTCTAGTGCTCCAAATCTCCCACAAACAAACCTCAAACAGCCTCTGGATGCCTGTAGTTTAGCCTAGCGCTGTCTGCACCAAGACAGCATGGCAATAAATCCCAACTTTATTCAGCAAAACAAGAACAAAGCAAGGAGCTCATGTAGCAAAAGATCCAGATAATGAGTCCAGAATGCCACACAGAAATGCAAGATTCTTGGAAAGTACAAATGTCGGCACACAACACTTCAGGAACTCAGCGTTTGTTCCCAGCAAATACCCCTCCCCACAGCATCTCCTTAAGTCTCATTCCCCAGGTGTGCCTGGTGAAGCTGGGCGGGGTACTCTTCTCCTGAGTGGCCCGTTCCGTCTTCGCTGATCATGCCTTCTCTGCACTCTCCAAGCTCTTGGATCAGGAGCGGGTGGTTCTTGCTCCTTGGCTGAGCTCTGTTCCTCCTTGCCTGCAGATCTTTTAGTCCCGAAAAGCCTTGTCTGGACTGATTCCAGCCTTCCTCCTGTTTCTTCCAAGGCCAACGGAGCTGCCCTTTCACTGTCAGTTTTTGTTCCATCTCCTCTTCCCCCGCATATTCAGACTTCGACACGGGGGGGGGGGGGGGGGGGCATGACATGTTGGCATGGTAGCTCACCATTTGTGAACCACATTGAAACGGCCAGTTGTGTTACAATTTTCCAGAAAGTAAAACAGGGAAGGATTCTCTCGCAGTTGCGGTTTGGAGTTGTCCCTTTCTTTTTGTCTCTAGAATTTTTATTTTTGTTCTCTTACATACCTTTTTTAGTCCTCTGGTATTGGGCGGCCTATAAATCTAATAAATTGAATTGAAATTGAATTAAGTATATGTTCACATAATTCTTCTTTACATTTGTCATGCTTATACATTTATTAATTCATTTAATAGGTTATAATAGACAGTTTGGGTTGCTTTATTTACCATCCCTTCTTCCTGTTGTGACACCACCTTATTTTCCCTTTNAAAAAAAAAAACAGGCCCATTTTTGCAAATAACAGGCCGTTTTGGGAAGGTTTGCCGAGTGCAAAATATATATATATTTTAATTTTCCTCTTCAAAACCTTGCTTATAATCCGGTGTATCTTATACTCCGAAAAATACCGTAATTAAAAGTAAAAGTTTCCTCCCTTCCCCAAACAGTCGGTCACACCAGAGGTGGCATTCTGCCGATTCGCATTGGTTTGGGCAAAGTGGTTGTGGTCCAATCACAATGCCGTCTGGTTGCCTAGTAACTTCACTCCTCCTCTCTCCAACCACCTGTGGAAATGTCCTTGGCTCCCAGGAGAAAGTTTTGGCTACAAAACCCCAGCTCTCTCTGTTTCCCCCTCTCTATCCCTCAGTTCCCATGTGGCAACCCTGAAGCGTCAAAACGACCTTGGTCAGGTCAGCTTCAGAGTTGACAAAAAACGCAGGTAATCTTCAATTTACAACAGTTCGCTTAGTGAACATTCAGAGTTGCAGTGCTTTCAGGTGCTTTGGAGAATAGGTTGATTCCCCCCCCCCTTCTTTGTGGCAGCCTCTCAATTATTGGAACACTGCTATCATCTCACCCCTACTCCTTCTTTTCATTACCCAATTCCAGCAACCATTCTTCACATGCTTTAGCCTTCAGTCCCCTAATCATCTTTGTTGCTCTTCTCTGCATCCTTTGCTTCCTAGCGCAGCCAGCAAGAGTTGAAGCAAGTGAGAGCGTTACTTCTGGCTCAACAAACTGCCCTGGAGATCATTGTCAACATGTGCTGCAACGAAGGTATATCTGTGGCTCTTTATCTCAGGTGAAGTAAATAAATAAAACAGATGTGGCCTTTCCTCCACTGGGTCAGCTGTTTAAATACGCGATGCTTAAGGGGGCTATTTCTACCACAGTTTTTGTCCCACACCCCAATCTACAGACTTTGTACAGTAAAAGCCATTTTAAGGCACAACAGGCTGTATCTTAACAGGCAGTGGAGTAAGTCATAAAATGAATGGAAATGCCACAGATGGCCACCAGAAACTTCTGATTTTGGTAAAGGCCCAGTGGAATAATTGAAGCCCTACTAAGTGTATAATACACGCATGTACAGCTGGGTCAGTTGAACTATGTAGCTCTTGGGTCTTTGCATGTGAGAAAATGTGTGAGCCACACATGTAAAGTTGGGTCAATTGGAGTTGTGCGGTGGCCTAGAGGTGGGAGCTCTCACAATCGGGAGGCTGTGAGTTCGATCCTAGGTGGAGGCATATATTTCTCTCTCTGGGCACACTGAGAGTAAATCTGTTGAAGAAAAAATTTGTCATCAGCGACAGGAAGCTACACAATTAAAACACGCTGCTCTCTCCGTTCGGTAGCCCAGACTCCAACCCACAAGGGATTATGGGGGTCATTAAATGAAAGTGATGATGACGTAAAAGCTGGCTCAGTTGAATTGTGGCGAAGCTCTTGGGTCTTTGCATGTTGTGTGAACCCAGACTATTGGGTAGCGGATCATGCATTGTGTGAACGCTGCCCAAAAGGTTTTGGCTTACACCTTCATGCTTATCGCAACCAGGCAAAAAATAATGTGTCCTCATAATGGTTGCATCTATAATCTACGTAGCACCGCAACCAAAGAATTGGTATTTGATTGAGAGGTTGGCATCTGAGGAATTCAAGACGGCGGCATGCGATTAAAGTTGTTGCACTTCCTTTGGGATATTGACACCTGGGCTTTTATTTCCAGATGCTTCTGACGAAGAATGGGAGGAGTTATCGAGCAGCGATGAGAGTGATGCCTTTCTGGATAACAGTTACGAAGAAGAGGGAAAGCTTCTTTCTCCGCTATGCCTTTCAGCTGAAATTCACACCGCCTTGGTCAACCAGTTGATCCCAAAGAAGGTCACCAGCTCCTCTTTGACTTCAGACAACAAACCTCTGGGTTTCCAAAAGCGGGTTTTCTGTTTCCCAAACCTGTGATTGCATTTACTTCATCAGTGTTCATTGAATAGCACACCGTTGGCTGAGTTCACACTGCATGCTAAGCCTTCAAATGTGGAGGACGAGCGAAGGGTGGAGGTCACACAATACAGTAGTCTTCCTTTCTCTTCTCCAGCTGGGTGCCCTTCAGATGCGTTGGGTCAGGTGGCAAACCGCTAAGATTTAGGATGATGGGTGAATCAGATCATAGTGTCAGGTTTCCGAAAGATGCCTTAATTAATTCATGAGCCTCAAGCCAAGTTTCAAAAGAAAACCAGTCATTTATTAGGAACGCCATTTCAGCAATATCTCATTGCAATCAGATCTAACCTCATTTGAATTATGGCTGAACTTCACCCCTGTTCCTTCCCCTCCCTCGGTCTGTGTCATAAATCACATTCTCCAACGAGGTGCACGCCTCACAAGCCTGCTGTAGTAATCTGAGATCCGACTCTAGCCGAACGTATGCGTGGAATGCGCTCGAACCCCTTTCCTCCCCATGGCAACTTAATAACAACATGCCAATGCTTTATGAGTTGACACATAATCTCCCAGTGCCTTCCTCCCCTCTCCCTCAAAAAATAATACTTTTGGATTTGGGGTGGCAATGAAGCATGAAGGAATGTGTGGCCAAAGGATTTTAAAGACATCTTTGCCGTTTCACAAGAAAGGATCATAACCTTTAAAATAAATTAAAGGAACATAGTGGTCTCAGAAATGTGAGGGTACTTCAGTGGTGGGTTTTGGATCCCAGTGCAACCGTTATGGTGCAACGGGAATGGGCGTCCACATGAATGTGTGCAGTGCCCATACATACACGCACAGTGCGTGCATATGTACTTACCGACCGTGACGCTCCAGCTGCTCGGCGGAGCTTCGCATAGGCGCCGTACGCTCCATGCACGGAAGCCCCAAAAACCTCAAATACCGCTAAGGAGGATGGGTGGGCGGGTACAGACACCGGTACGCCCATACCAGGGTGTACCGGTCATAACCCACCACTGGGGTACTTCTACATTTTGTGGGCATATTGGGCTCTTCTAAGAATTGGGGCCATTAGTCCTTCTTTGAACCTTCACGATGACCCACAACTGTTCTTTTCTTCGCGCAGATCCTGGAAAAAACTGCTTTCCCTAGTGCAGTTACTCTTGAGGTCTGTATGAAGCATCCGTCTTGGAAGCCTCTGATGAAAAAGTAAGTG